CCTAAGTATACTAAAGAATGACCTGTGATAGAAAATTCGAGTACCATTTCGAGTATCTTGGAGCAGTTTTGACTAATGAAGTGAATCTACAGTGGAATGGCATAAACGAAGTTCAGAGCTGATTGACACATGGACTGACTGATTATGAGGATCTTCATGAAAGCAGCCATATTCGCAGTGCTAATGCTCTGTTTAGAAGCATATGCTGTCCTGAAATGCCATGTAGCTCGCCTCGAAACTCCCAACAATGCTGTTAGCTGAGTATCCTAAAAGTGCCATAGTACATTAGATCACGAATTACGAGACGATGAAGACTATCCGGCTGAGAAAATAATCAGTTGAGCTCCGAGAGGAGAGCGCTGCTTGGTTTAATAAGATGGCGCCAATAGAGTGGAAATATTTTCATAACTTTTCTCACTTGCGAACCATAACCATCCACTAGACAGTGGTAGACGCGTCGGAGGACAATGTAAAGCTTGGAAACACCTCTTTGAGGTTAGCCTGCTACAAGGAATATGAGCGTTGAAGCAGCAGTGCACAGCAGAATAACAGGCTGTTGCCTAATATCAATCTGAAGTGCGATTTCTAATGACCAAACCTTACACATCTAGATTAATCTGCTGTTTCAGCTCTGACGATTACAAGGCAGCAGCTTCAAAGTCAGTTAGTTAACGACGGAGGGTCGGAAACGGTTAGAAGAGATCTTTGAAAACTTACAGTATGTCTGTTCGGCCAGCGCGTTCACGTCCACCTGCCTGAGCTTGCTGTTCTTCTTACCCATGCCATGCACGAAGAACGGCGTAGGAAAACGGAGAAGACGGCGACGGTGACGATGACGACGATGACGAAGACGAAGACGAAGACGGTACGGTAAGAGCGGTAAGAGTTGCGCTACGTGTATACCGCCACGCAGACAGTCACTTACCTCGAGCGACGAGTGTCAGCGTTAGGAGCGATCATAAGCAGTCGTACAAAACGAACTTCGACAGCAGTTGTCTGCAGGCGTCGTTTTTCTTGATGTTGTTCGCCAGTGGACGATCAAAATTTATATAGCTAATAAACATGATCGATAGAACGACGCCGGGTCGATTCGCTGTTCTGCAATGGAGATGGGATCTGCGACGAGACCCGGCGCAGCAGAGGCGGGACAGACTCGAGGGTTGGGCCATCGGCCCATCGGCCCATCGAGGCATCGAGGCATCCGTAACCGATCGACCGCTGTTGTGCGACTGGCTGTTGAGTCGTGGGAGCAAACGTCGCAAGGGTCGAATTGAGTCGTGTCAAATCGACAGACTCCTACCGCTTCGGACGTACCCGCAAACACAAGCGTAGCC